AAGGAAAGGTGATGGGTGGGGGTTATCGGTGTAGGCGAGGTGGACTGTGAAGTTAGTTCTAGTAAGGGATTAGTAGAATAGTGGGTTAATAAAGAGAATAGGTGCGCGGAGGAAGGGAAAATAGTGAAATGAACCTGGCTGGGTATTGCACCAGGTGCATGTGGGAAAATGGGATGGCGGAAGAAAGATTCGGGCGCAGAAAAGAAATAGTGGTGAACGCGATACTTCATGGATTTGGGCGGGGGAAGGGCCTATATAGGCGTTTCTATGTAGGGCGAGATGAATAGGAAGGTTAGATTTAGAAGACAGTCAGTAGGATAAGAGTTAGTAAGGAAACCTCCGCGCGGAGCTATGGTGGAGATGACTTAGAGGAAACAAGAAAATCGAGAATACTACTCGATTTCCGATAGAACTGGGCAAGGGACGGCAGTTGCTATGAGTTTTCAAGTCGGGCGAATCAGTAGGTAGCGTTAGCCTTGGTGATAGGTGAGTAGATTTAAAGTTAGTATGGACAGCGGCTGCGCGAAGCTAAGAGGAATGAAGTGTTGAAGAGGGTGATAACGTGAGGGAATGAACCTGGCCGGGTTCAGTGCCAGGTGCGTTCGAGGAAGTAAAGATGTCCGGTGGTGAGACCGGGGAGGAATTCAGACGGTTTGTTACATTGGGTCCATCCCAGAGGGAGAGGGTGCTGGGGGTGGAGTGACGAGCGGACCAGCGAACAACTGCCCTGCAAAGGAAGGAAGCGGCAGGGACTACTGCGGTGGAGACAAGATGAATCTGGACAGGGCATTGTAGCGGGTGCGTGTGGGCGACAAGCTGGGCAATGACCGAAAGTCAGAAGGGAGAGCAGAACGGATGAACCTGGGCGCAGGACAACGCCAGGTGTAGTCAGATTGAAACGCTCGGAGGTGGCGAATTGTTGAGCCAGGCGCAGTAGAGAGTGCACTATACGTTTGACTGTGCATGAAAACAAAGAGCAGGGGGGGGGGGGACTGTTGCAAAAGCCATACTCTCTGTTACTGTTACTGGGTTGCGACCATGTACGGACTGGCCAACACAGTCTCATAGTGCAAACACCGGGCCTCAGCTAGGCATGCTGAGTTCTCAACGTGCTCCATAGGGTAGTTTTTTCTGAGTTTTCTCGTAATACGGCTAGTACAGTGGTATCCTGCCCTCAGCCTACAGCGGCTGTTGGCAGCAGCAACAGTTCGTGCCCGGACGCATCACTTAGCGCATATGCTACT